GTGTTAGTGCGTGCATGTACGCGCAAGAGGGGGGTGGCGCGAACATTTTTCTGTAAAACAAAGGGGGGCCCAGCGAAAAACATTTGGGAACCACTGGTCTAAATGTTGATTGGTGTTGTTTGTGTTGGATTTCTAGAAATTACTTGTTATTAGACGTGTAGCAGATGCATCGAGTGAGCTCGTGTAACCATATCATAAACATAGAACAGTGGTGGCCAGCTTTAATAATCAAAAGTATGCGCAATCCAATAAGAATTAAAACTAATGCCTGAGATGATAAACCACGCAGGAATCCCTGCAGTTCCTCTAACGTCCAGCAGAGGCAGCAGTGAGTCAGTCCCCATAGACTCCCATGTTAAAACTTCACAGCAGAAGTAAACAGGCCTCTTTGACAGACAGGTGGATAGCGACACAGCTGCTAGCTGTCCCTCTGGACAGTTTTTGTGCTATTGGAGGATTTTTAATGACATCATCTGACAATAATGTGGCTGCTGTGAAAATCCAGAATTTTATTTGAATGTTGCTGAGCACTGATTAGCAGGTATCTGCATGTGAAGATGCAAGCAAGCGAATCAAGAATCAGCAAATAACGGCAGTAAGAGAAGCATTAGGTTAGCTAGGGTTAATTATCTTAAAATAGTTTTGGATTAAAGACACGACTTAGATTGATTATATTTAAACTCTTGTGTCTTTTGCAGTAAATACAAACTAATAAGCAGTCAGACGTGTCGGATCCATGCAAAGCATCTGTGAATGTGACCGTGAGCAGACACTGGCAGGCTCTGTGAGGTCATCGTACTAACAGACTGTCCAGGAAGTCTGCGCTCCAGTTTGAGTGAAATTTGAGGATTTTATTTGGATCTTACTGAGCTCTAATTAGCTGAACACTCAGCACTCCCCCCACTCGTCCACATCTGGTCATTTCTTGCTCCCAAACCCAAGAAGTTAAGTGTTTACAGACCAGAGGAGTCGCCCCCTGCTGGTCAGTAGAATAAACCACGACCTTTACTTGTTTGTGCTGTCTTTGTAACAGCAGAGCTCAGCGTGACGCTAAAACAGCAAAGAGCACGAATGTCTTACCGTTCCTTTGGGCGACTCAAAGATCTCGTGAGTCTTAACAATGTTGGGATGATCCAACGTTTCCAGGACGCCTTTTTCATGAGGCAGGAACTTTTCAATGTAAATAGTGGTGCATTTACTTATGTCAGTAACTTTTATGGCGACCATTTTCTTCATCTGGGTGGAGTATGCTTTCACAACTTCACCGAACATGCCTTGTCCCAGTCTGCCCTTATACTGGTAACCACGACTCTCCATGAAGCGTTTGTCCATGGTGGCTGTGGCTGCAG